ATAACTGTGGTGCACAAATGCTTCCCTCTGTTCCCATCCCCACAGTGCTAAATCTATTTATCTTTCATCTTATCGAAATTCTTGCTTGTGTTTCCTACATCCGAGTTCCCCCACTGCCTGCCTATGCATCTCCCCACTAATTTCTCAGCACGTGTACTCCTGCCCCTGTCCTCATACACCTGGCTTTCTGCCATCTCTTCATGCTTTGGTCTTCTCCCAAGGTGCCTGAGCGATGCCGAAGAGAAGTTACTGTTGTCTATTTGTACCCTCATGTTCTGAAGCTACTTGTGTGCTGTAAAAAATATCATGTTAAGAGCTAGAATACTGGCATCTACTGCATATTCAGTGAGGCGTTTAATTCTTGTTTAGGCTTCCTTGGGAAACCAAGATGATTTATCTACTTATTTCAGTTGGAGCTTAGGTTGCTAAATAGAATGTGAGCACTTACATGCCTTGGGCACTCTGACCCCAGCCCCCAAAATTTTGTCCACCACAACTCTTGAAAGATTTGGTGCAAGATGGCAGAGAATCTCCCAGCCACCTCCCTTCACCTCCATCAAGAGGGCTGAAGCATCTGTCCAAACCCATCTAACAGCCGCAGTATCAGACTCTCCAAACGGTGCCTCCACTGAACATACACCACGACACTTGCACACTCCGGCCATCTCTCAAGAAGAGCTATTATTACCTTCATGCTGTCCATGGATGATATTCAGGGTCCCATCGGGGGCACCAGCATCCTGAAACAGCTTGGCGAGGAACATGAGTGCTCCTGGTACACGCTCAGATGGTTTCATCAAGAAGGTGTTTCCACAAACCATAGCCATGGGGAACATCCAAAGAGGAATCATGGCTGGGAAATTGAACGGTGCAATTCCAGCACACACACCCAGAGGCAGACGGTAGGTATGAGTGTCCATGTCTTTAGTGATGGAGGGCATGGTCTCTCCCAGTATGAGGGATGTCACACTGCAAGCGTGTTCAACCACCTCTGCAGCAGAAAGGGCAATATGCCACTGGATGATCTGTTAACAATTAGTCCCCAAACTCCCTTCTCACCACTGCCTTGACCCACGTCTTTCTTCCAGCCTCTTTTCCCACAAATTAAAACTCATTGTGCTCCAGAAAATCCCTTTGCTCTGCCACGCACCGTGAGCTCATTGTGAATGGATTCCCTCTTGAGTGCATTACATGTCATTACGATAGGAGCATAGACACAAGAGCCCCAGTAGAAGATGCACAGGTATAGTATTATTGTACCACCTGGGGCTCAGCCTTAGACATCTGAGCACAAGCGAGAAGTTCTTATCCCTTTACAGCAATTTGTAGTCACACCTAGGAAAAGGAAAGATCTAACAACTTGGAAGTGATTTAAGGAAACTCTGTCTAAGGGAACTTTTCAGGTTAGAGTTACCATTGCCCCTTTTCTTTCAGCAG